ACCACTGTTATTCAACATAGTATTGGAAGTCCTAGCCTCAGCAGACAACACAAAGGAATAAAACGTATCCAAATTGGCAAGGAGGAAGTCAAATTTTTACTCTTCACAGGCGACATGATACTCTTATGGAAAACCCAAAAGAATCCACCAAAAAACTGCTAGAACTGATCCAGGAATTCAGCAAAGTCTCAGGATATAAAATCAATGCACAGAAATCAGTTGCATTTCTATATACCTATAATGAAGCAGCAGAAAGAGAAATCAAAGACTCGATCCCATAAAATATCTACAAATAAACTTAACCACAGAGGTGAAAAATCTATACACTGGAAACTATAGAAAGCTTATGGAAGAAATTGAAGAAGACACAAAAAATGGAAAAATACCCTATGCTCATGGACTGGAAGAACAAATAATGTTAAAATGTCGATACTAACAAAGCAATCTACATATTTAATGCAATCCCTATCAAAATAAAACCAGCATTCTTCACAGAGCTAGTACAATCATAAAATGTGCATGGAACCACAAAAGACCCCAAATATCCGAAGCAATCCTGAAAAAGAAAACCAAAGCTGAAGTCATCACAATTCTGGACTTCAAGCTGTATTACAAAGCTGTAATCCTCAAGACAGTATGGTACTGGCACAAAAACAGACACTCATATCAATGGAACAGAATAGAGAACCCAGGACAGACCCACAAACCTATGGCCAACTAATCTCTGACAAAGCAGGAAAGAATATCCAATGGAATAAAGACAGTCTCTTCAGCAAATAGTGCTGGGAAAACTGGCCAGCGACATGCAGAAAAATGAACTTGGACCACTTTCTTACACTATACACAAAAATAAACTCAAAATGAATGAAAGGCCTTCACAGGAAGCCATCAAAATCCTAGAGAAGAAAGCAGGCAAAAACCTCTTTGACCTTGGCCACAGCAACTTCTTACTCAACATGTCTCTGGAGGCAAGGGAAACAAAAGCAAAAATTAATTACTGTGACCTCAATAAGATAAAAAGCTTCTGCATGGCAAAGAAAACAATCAGGAAAACTGTGCTGACAGCCAGCTCAGAGCCTGGAGCCTGCTTCAGAATCTGTATCTCCCTCTCTCTCTCTCTCTCTCACCCTCCTTTGCTCATGCTGCCTCCCCCCCCCCAGAAATAAATAAAACATTAAAAAAAATCTTTTTTAAAGAAGACATCCAGATGGCTAATAGACATATGAAGAAATGCTCAACATCACTCATCATCATGGAAATAGTAATCAAAACCACAATAAGATACCACCTCACACCAGTCAGACTGGCTAAAAAACAAACAAACAAAAAAAAAAACCACAAACCCCCCCCCCCCCAACTCAGGCAACAACAGATGTTGACAGGGATGCAAAGAAAGAGGATCCCTTTTGCACTGCAGATGGGAATGCAAACTGGTGCAGCCACTCTGGAAACCAGTATTGAGGTTCCTCAAAAAAATTAAAAATAGAACTACCCTATGGCCCAGCAATTGCACTACTAGGTATTTATCCAAAGGATGCAGGTGTACTGTTTCGAAAGGGCACATGCACCCCAATGTTTATAGCAGTGCTATTGACAATAGTCAAAGTATGTAAAAAGCTCAAATGTTCATCGACAGATGAATGGATAAAGAAGATGTGGTATATTTATACAATGGAGTATTACTCAGTGATCAAAAAGAATGAAATCTTGCCATTTGCAACATGTGGATGGAACTAGAGGGTATTATGCTAATTGAAATAAATCAGTCAGAGAAAGACAAATATATGATTTCACTCGTGTGGAATTTAAGATACAAAACAGATAAACATAAGGGAAGGGAAGCAAAAATATATATAAAAACATGGAGGGGTCAAAACATGAGACTCTTCAGTATAGAGAAAACTGAGGGCACTGTGGGTGGGGGGGATCGGCTAAATGGACAAGGAGCATTAAGGAGGATACTTTTTGGGATGAGCACTGAGTGTTATATGTAGGGAGTGAATCACTGGATTCTATTTCTGAAATCATTATTACACTGTATGCTAACTAACTTGGATGCAAATTTAATAAAAAAATTAATGATAATGATAAAAAAAACCTGTCATTTTAATAAAGCAGTGCTGAGCCCCCATCTGTATAACCACTCTGTGTGGAAATTCCACTTTTCATCAGCCTAGTACATTTTCAATTCCTCTGAAAGGGAAAAGGAGTAATTTTTTAAGAACTGTTTCATTATATATAATGAAAAACATACGTGAAAGGTGTGCCACAAAAATAGATCAAAACTTGTAAGTTACTATTTTTAATGTTTTTGAGGGAGAGGTAAGGGAGAGGGAGAATATCCCAAGCAGTTTCCACGCCCAGCACATAGCCCCTATGGGGCTCCATCTCATGACCCTGGGATTGTGACTTTGAGACCATGACCTGCAGGTGCCCCTGTAAGTTACTATTTTTAAACTAGCTAAACAACAAAGATACAAAGTAGTAAAGAACAATATGATTCAGAATTAGAAAACCTCAACTCCATGGCAGGCATTCTGTCACAATTTTTATTTATATCAAATCATCACATTGGACACTGTAAGTATCTTACACTTTTGTCAATTACCTCAACAAAAATCGGAAAAAAAATCACAAATGGGGTGACAGACCTCAGGAGAAATAATAAAGTTTAAACTAGAAGTGTGGTGGGTGGAATGCACAGAATAGGTGAAAGGATTAAGAGGTACAAACTTCCAGTTATAAAATAAATTTGTCACAGAGATGAAAAGTACAGCATAACGAATATAGTCAGTAATAGTGTATTAACATTATAAAAGAAAAACAGAATAAACTAGAAGGAACACAAAAACTAAGGCATATAACAGATTATTATGCCCCATAAAGAACATGAGCCAATTCTTAAGTTGATGTTTCCCTACTAATTTTAGTTGTCTGATGCTCATTTTCTAGTAATTTTTCAGGAAGGAAGGGCTTATGACAATGATAGTCTCATCAAATATTGATACGATATCAACACTTGATATGATAATTTATACACTTTGTACGTGAGAGTTGCTTTTGCTGGATATAAAATCTTTAGCCTATATTTTCCCCTTGAGTATCCAAAATACATTGTTCCACTTTCTTTTGGCAAGAAGGTTCACTGTCAAAAGTCTAGTAATATTCCAGTTTTCTCCTATTTTGCAAATGTAACAATATATTAAATTCTATTAAATAGTGTATTTGTTATATGTTTGAAACAATTCACACTATATTTTGCCAAATCTAAGATGATCTCAAATTTGAATACCATAATTTTCTGTATTGATGAAAAAGGAAAAATTACATTCCACTGTGGTTTCGGCTTTTGGCTTTGTCCAGCAAAGCCAAAGGTGGCAGAAAGGATTGCTCGAGACTCCATGCAATTCAAGAGAGATGAGAGGGAGGCTAAGGAAAGTCTCCCCAAGCTGCTCTCAAACTCCTGTATTTACTAGGCATACATTTTAGGGCAAACATCGTGCAATATGCCAGTGGCTACATTCCATTAAGAACTATAGAAAGCATGCAAAAAAAAACCCGAAAAAACAAAAAACGAAAAACACAAGGTGTTCCCAAGACTACAAAAGAGCAGATGCTGAAAGCAGGTGGAGAACATGACAAGCTATTCCATAATTAACACGGTCTAAGGAATTCTTGAGCACAGGCAGGACCCAACCCCTAAATACGCATTAACTAGATATTGGCCCACTGTTTCAGGAGGGCCAGAAAGCAGTGTAATGCATTCCCTATAATCTCCTTAACCAGGACATAGCTATGTGATATCCAACATTCTAATTTTAAGGGATATTAAAATGTAAAGAAATGTGGTTGCAGATGAAACTCTGGCTATTCATTTTCTATTGCTGTATAACAATTTACCATAAACATAGTACTAAACTTAGTACTAGAGTAGAACCTTGAAAGAATGAGAGAACAAGTTCCTTTTAATGATTATGTAGAATAGGTACACAACTGGATTAAGAAGCGAATGATGCCACAGGTCAGCAGTATGAAGTTTCCAGAAATCAGGAAATGTTCAATTTTGAAATGAGACTGAAGAGGCACAAAGGATAATGCAGTTTTGCCTGGATTGTGTGTGCCTCTGCCCACACCAGAGAGGAAGAAATTCTAATGAAGTAAAAATATCATACATCACAGAACTGATATAACATAGTCAAAGTATACATTAAGTTTTTAAATTCTGCAGCCATTTCTTCAAATATTCCGTTTATTTAGAATGAAAGACAAATCCTACCTAATGTTGAGTACTACTAATTTTTGTTTCTTAAGAAAGGTGAAAGGGGAACCAAATGAAAAAGAATTAGAAGTCCTTAGGCGTGTGTTTTAGTACTTAATCTTGACAGTCTGTGACCTTGACCAAATCACTCATGCTGTTTGCAAGTTCCTTTCCCTCACCCATAAAGTGGAGGCAAACTGGATGACAATGTCATTCATAGCTCTAAAAATCACGACTCTATTAAATCAGTGACAGTGCCTGGCTTGTAGTAGACGCCCAAAATTATTTGTTAAAAGTATAACATCTCAAAATGGAATCCCGGAAATCCTGAAAATCTGGAACTACTTATTACTACAAAGTTTCGATTTTGTGTTTATTAAATTAAGTGGTTTCCTATTCCTGGTATAAAACTCAAGGATTTTTGCTGCGCAATTCCATTACTTAGCTAGCAACTGGAACCTCTCCGCCTTGCTAGAGAGCCAAAGGTACCGCGTAAATTCAGTGTTTTAGCTCATTTAGAGCTGCAGGATCCTTGCTCGCAGCGGATCCATTCACAACTCCCACCTGCGGCAAGGCCTATCCCCTCCCCCGGCGGCCACACCCAAACCGGAAACCAGGACGTCCCTGGGGTTGACGGGAAGGCTCAGCCCGGCGGCACGCTTCCCAGCCCCGCCCCCTCCGGTGATGTCACCGTCCGCCCCTTGACCTCGCGGTCCCGCCCCCTTCCCTGCCTACCCATAGCCAGCGGCGGCGGCGACTCTTGGAGGAGATGGAGGTGTCCCAGCCGGTAGCCGCAGCTCAGGGGGAAGAGGCGTCCTGCTCTTCCTGGGGGGCCGGCAGGTGAGAAGATGAGTGAGAGCGCGAAGCAGCGAGGGATGGCAGGCGGGACCCGGGCGCCGGCTTTCTGCTGCTCCCGCTCGGGCGGCCAGGGAGCGCGCGTGAGGCCGCGGAGCCGGGCAGAACCGGCCCTGGGAGGCGAGGGGAGCGCGCGGAGTGGGTGTGGCGCCTTGCGTTTAGACCTCTGCGGCTCCCGGCTCCTCTGAAGAGAAAGGCCACCTCTCGGTCCTTTCGGCCCTCAGGTCCAGTTGGGGTCTGCCGTCCTCCCAGGCACCGGACGTGGGGCGGGGGGTGTAGCGGGGGTGGAGAAGGCCCCGCGGAGAGTTCTGGTCCCGGTCGCTTGGTGTGAGCTTCCCAGTCCTGGTGCCAAACACCTTTCTACCTCCTTTCGGTGAAATGAAAGCTAAGAGCCCCCTGTGAGCGATCCTGCACTGAGACCCTCCTTTGAAAACTGTTACCAGAGGGAACTTGGTAATGATGAATCCGTGCCAATCAGGACATCCTGCGGCCTCTGTTCACTACAGTTTAAAAAAAAATCCAGGGAAAAACCTACGAGTTACTTATTCCCTAGTTGGTGTTGGGTTTGGTGGGGTTTTTTTTTTTTTTTCAACTTCTATTTCATTCCTGCAAAATTGGGGGAAGTGTTCGTGTAGTTCCTGTTATCAGTCATCTCATAATTAATAAAGCCGTTACTTACATACTGCCTACTACTAGAATACAATATTCCAAAGAGAGAAGTGATGGATATGTGACTTTGAGCTGATATGAACCTGTCTATAAACCTGTAGCTTTTTCGCCAGTTCACATTGAAGGGATATTTTCGGTTCCATGATATTACCTGCCGTTGCCAACATTGCCACATTTACTTGAGGGAAATTATGTAATACAATCAAAGCCTCCCCTTATTTAAAAGGATTTTTGATTGCCATATAGATCTTATTACAAAAATGATTTTTGAAACATTCCAGTAAGACGGAATTTTCTGAAAAATCAGTGCCAGTCATATCATTAAGTGACAAAGCTGGTTAGAATGGAGTTCATGTTTACTTAAGAGTTGTACCCACTAGACCATTGTCCTCCAGGCAGGGAAGGCAGCTAGGGATAAGAAAACTGAAGTAAGAAATTTTGTTTATTTTCTTATTTTATCAGTATGCCAGAAGAACATATTGTGTATGTGTTGTGTTTTTATTAGATAGGTGATCTCTTAAACACAGCTATCTCCTGGTCTGTGTGCATAATTGCAATCAGGAAAATTTCTAATAGTTACTCATGTATAACTTAGCTAGAGGCTGATATCATTTGATAATACCAATCAATCAGTGTTTGATAAGATAAATAATAACATTTTGATTAACTATATTTAAAAATCCTTTGGCCATATATCAGTACCAGGCTTAGGAAATTGGATTCCAAAACCTTAATTTTGGGTTTTCACATTATTTTTAGAATCCTGTAATTGATAGAGTTTCCCAGAACCTGGAGAGGATTCACTTTTTGCCAAGATGATATTGATCTTAGCTGTCACTGTGGCTCAGGCCAAAATGCCCCAGGCTGATTTCCTTGCTTGGGAGCCATTCCTATTTCCCAGTGTTCATCCTGTTTTCATCTTTCTTGGTATGCCATGCTGTGAAAAATTGGGATGAGCTGCAGTAAATGATGCATAAGTATGCCTTATCATGATAGTATGCTTAAAAATTTTTTTGTTTTTAAATTTCCTTAAGTAATCTCTACACCCAGCGTGGGACCTGAATTCACAACCCTGAGATCAAGAGTTGCAAGCTCTACCAACTGAGCCAACCAGGCGCCCCCTTTTTTTTTAATTTTTAAAGTTCATTCAACAGATAGATTTGAGTGCTTTCTTAATGCCTACTTTGAGATGCAATAGGCAGTATAGCATGGTGGTCAAGAGCTAGACAGTGTAGGTTAAGATTCTGGGTCTGTCCTTTACCTGCTCTGGAACCTCAAGTTGGTTAAATAAACTTCTGTGAGCGTCAGTTTTTTTCCTCTGTTCAGTGGAGGTGGTAATAGTGCCTATCTTAAAAAGTTGTTGTAAGGGTTAACTGAGTACATCTACAGCACTTAAAACGATGTGTGGCACAGTGTTTCCTCTTGAATTATTATTACATGCCAGGTACAGTTTTAGGTATTTGGAATACATTAGTGAATTCTTAACAGATCATACACTTTCTTGGGGAAGGCAGACAGTGAACAATTAGTAATTTGAAGGACGTACAGCAGGTTAGTGAGTTAGGGAGTGACCTAAGGAGGAGGAGAGGCATCTCATTGAAAGGGTGATCAGGACTGGTCTATGTAATATTTGTGAGGCATTATTTTAGTTGAGGCTTACCTGATAAGAGTCAGCCATTCAGAGATCTAAAGGGGGAACATTCCAAGCAGAGGGATAAGCAGTATAAAAACTCTGAAGTGTTAGCATGCTTGGCTTTTTGAGGAACAGCAAGTTGACCAATGTGGGAAAGTAGTGGGAGTTGTAATTGAAGAGGTAATTGGGAGGCAGAACACCAAACCCTTTTGAACATGGTAAGGTGTTTCAGTTTTATTCAAAAAGTAAAAGAGAGTTACTTAAGAATAGTTCTAAGTAAAGGAGTAACATCTGACTACATTCTAAAAAATTTAGGTTGTTATATGGAGAATAAACTGAAGTGGGATGGCAGTGGTATCACTCGAGAGACTAGTTAGGAGTCCTTTGAAGTCGTTCAGATGAAATATGATGATGGTTTGGCCTGAGATTATACTAGGACACAGATGGAGAAAATGAAGGAACAAGTTAAGAAGATCTCTAGAGTCTGGGCCTGAGCAAATGAGTAAATGGTGATACCAGACACTGAATTGGCAGAAATTGGGGAAAAATAGGTTAAGCAGGGAAATTGAATTCTGTTTGGGGCTTGTTATGTTCATGAAACCAGTTAAACATCTGAAGAGAGATTGTTCTAGCAGGTGTGGAAAATGTACACGGCAGATGAGAGATCAAACGTGGAGAATTGAGTTTAGATATCCTCAGTATCTGGTAAATTCTATATATGGAATGAATGAGATTACCTAAAGAGATTGTGTATGTTAGACAAGGTTTATGGGGCACTCCCAACAAACTTGTGAAAATACGGATTCATCAGAATATATGTAAATCAATATCTGAACACCTGAGAATAAAACTATAGGCCATAATTTTAAAATACACAGAATAGACAGTGAGTGAATTGAATTTTGACCTATTTTTACATTGGAAATAAAGGAATGGAAATAAAATATATATCTGGTTTGTAAAATCCTCTTTAGTAACTGCCATGTATAATTGACTATTAAATTACAGAACGTGAATATTAAATAGCCATACTTGCTCTTATAAGTTGTGTTTTATTTTTTCAGTACCAATACAAATTTGCCCGTCATGTCAGCAGAGTCTGTGGAGATTGATGATGCATTGTACAGGTGAGAGCTTTATGGAAACTAAAACTTATTTTCCTCATTTATTGTTCTAAAGTAATGGAATACTCTATTTGAAAATACCATTAGACCTATGCAGAGTTTTATAAATATCCTAAGAGTTCTTGAAGTTAAAATTAGGGTTTTGTCTGATTTTTCTTTTCTGTAGTCTGAAAGCTTGAATAATATTTAAATCTCAGTTGCTTTAGGTTTAGGTGATACGACTAAGAATGATATTGGATACACCTAGGTGATTCAGTCTGTTAAGTCTCTGAACTTCAGCTCAGGTCACGATCTTGCGGTCTGTGAGTTTGAGCCCTGCATTTGGCTCTGTGCTGACAGCTCAGAGCCTGGAGCCTACTTCAGATTCTGCCTGTGCGCCTCTCTCTCTTTCTTCTCTCTCTCTCTGCCCTTCCCCTGTTCATGCTCTATGTCTCTCTCAAAAATAAACATTTTAAAAAAAAAGAAAAAAAGAGGGTTGCCTGGGTAGCTCAGTCAGTTAAGGGCCTGACTTCAGGTTAGGTCAAGATCTCACCATCTGTGGGTTGGAACCCTGCATTGGGCTCTGTGCTGATAGCCTGGAGCCTGCTTCAGATTCTCCCTCTCTCTCTGCCCCTACCCTACTCACATTCTGGCTCTCTCTGTCTCAAAAATACATATTAAAAAAAAAAAGAAAAGAAAGATTTTGTTATCCACTATAAAATATACTTCTTGTTTTTGGACAGTAGTACATATTACGTTTTTTGGTAGTGCAGGAGTCTCATGAAAAACAATCCATTCTGCGTAAATTATCCGGTATATCTAGAGATTGTTTTTACTTCAGTGTAATCTCATTAACAACATTGTATGTTTGCACTATATAGACAGCAAAGAAGTACTATGTGGCTGAAGAACTATGATTTGAATGGAATTTAGTGAGATTCTTTTTTACTATTCCTTTTCATGAAATCAAAATACTTTTATCAGAATTAAAGAGAAAATTTATATACATTGCTATCACTTTTTTTTTTTAAGTTTTTTATTTACTTATTTAAGTAATATCTACACCTAACCTAGGACTTGAACTCTGGATCCAGAGATGAAGAGTCACATGGTCTTCTGACTGCACCAGCCAGATGCCCCTACATTACTATCACTTCTAAGACTTTTTTTAAAATAATACTTCAAGTTGTTTGAATGGCAGATAGTATAATCCCCTTATATGGAAGGTAATTTAAAAGGTTTTAGATTTCTTCTGTGTATAATTATGAAAAATGGATTTTTTATAGGTAGAATTTGGTACAATAAAGCTATTGTATATTTTGAATTCTTTTTTTATATTGTTTTTATATGGGATGCTGAGTCAGTTTTGAGCATTTTGGGAGGAGCTGATGTGTACATCGTAGTATGTTAATTTCAATTAATATTTTGGAATTGGAAAATGAGAGAAGACAAAACTTAATTTTGCTTATGTGAAAATTATTTTACCATACAGTTTCCTGAATATAAATATACAGTAGTTTAGAAATCACCTTACGTTTATAGTCTTAATCTGTAATTATGATTTTTTTTTTTTTTTTTTATTTCTAGGACAGAGAGAGAGAGACAGTGCGAGTAGGGGAGGGTCAGAGAGAGAGGGAGACACAGACTCTGAAATTGGCTCCAGGCTCTGAGCTGGCAGTCAGCACAGAGCCCGACGCGGGGCTCGAACCCATGAACCACGAGATCATGACCTAAGCGAAAGTCGGACGCTTAACCGACTAAGCCACCCAGGCGCCCCTGTAATTATGATATTCTTAATGTCCTTTTGATCACATTCTTGGGATAACAAATGGCAGCTTCTTAAGAAAGCAATGGTTAATTTTATCTGTTATTTAGCTACAACCTTGTGAAACTTTTTTATATCCCTCCAACCCTGTAATGGCTGATTAATGAACATAATTTTTGGTAAACCAGAAATTAAATTTTCCATTTGCAGCATTGTATAAGGAGGCTACAGTTTGCTTGACTGAAAATGACAGAATATAGCAGTTTATTTATGATCAGGTATTTTTGGATCATAAAATAGTTCAATTTTAATTTTGTGGGGAACTTCTATACTGTTTTTTATAGCAGCTAGACCATTTTACATTTCTACCAATAGTGCACAAGGATTCCAATTTGTCCACATTCTAACCGACACTTGTTATTTCCTGGCATTTTGTTCTTGTGCAATGGCCATCCAAACAGGTGTGAGGTGATATCTCATTATGGTTTTGCATTTCCTTGACAATTAGTGATGTTGACACCTTTTCACATCCTGTTGGCCATTTGTGTATCTTTAGAGAAGTGTCTGTTCTAATTCTAGCTCATTTTTAAATCAGATTCCTTGAGAGTTTTTTTGCTATTGAATTATAGTTCCATATATAATTTGGATATTAACCTCTTATCTTGAGGGGCGCCTGGGTGGCTCAGTCGGTTAAGCGTCTGACTTCGTCTCAGGTCATGATCACACGGTTTGTGGGATTGGGCCCCACATCGGGCTCTGTGCTGACAGCTAGCTCGGAGCCTGGAGCCTGCTTCAGATTCTGTGTCTCCCTCTCTCTCTAACCCTCTCCTGCTCACGCTGCGTCTCTCTCTCTCTCTCAGAAAAAAAAAAAATGATCTTGAGGTTCTCATGTATTTTTTAGCATGTTTCGTGGAATACTGTAAACCTTGAGTAACACTATGGGACTCCTACAGAGTGCCACTAATGATGTGGGAAGTGCTCCCTAGAAGTAGAGAAAAGTCATGACAATACTTGATGAATTGTTGAAAGTTGAATTACTTGATATATACCGTAAATTGAGGTCTGCAACTGTGGCTGCCTGCTATTTCAAGATACATAAATGCCGCAGAAGGACCACTGTAAAAAAAAAGGAGGAAATTTTTGAAGTTGCAGCTATACCAGCAGACACAAAAACCTTGCACTTTTTGCAAAGTACTTTTTTATCTCATACTGAAAATGCAACTTCTATGTGGGTAGGAGTTGCTCTAAGAAAAGCATTCCTGTGTACTCTAATATGATTCAAGAAAAAGCAGAGTCATTATAAAGACAACTTAAAGCAAAATGAAGTTAAAGGATATAAAGCTGGAGAATTTAATGCAGCAAGGAGTAGTTTCATAATTTAGAAAGAGACTTGGCTTAAAAAATGTCAAGATAACAGGAGAAGCACTTGCTGAAGAAGAGGTAGCAGTTGAGTTCCCAGATGCCTTTAATTAAGAAGATCATTGTGGAGAAAGAATATCTACCTGAACAGGATTCCAGTGCAGATTAAAGTGTCCTATTCTGGAAGAAAAGTGCCACAAAGAACATTTATTAGCAAGGAAGAGAAACAGGCACCAGGAAGAAATAGGCTAACTCTACTGTTTTGTGCAAAGGCAACTGGGTTAATGATCAGGACTGCCCTTACCTATGAAGCTACTAAGCCCTTTGAGCCTTGATGGGAGAAAATAAAGCATCAGCTGCTAATCTTTTGGTTGTAAAACAAGAAGGCCTGGACAGTGAAACCCCTTACTCTGGAATGGTTTCATTGATGCTTTGTCTCTGAAGTCAGGAAGTACCTTGCCAGTAAGGGACTATCTTTTAAAGTTCTTTTGATATTGGACAATGTCCTTGGCTACCCAGAGCCCTATGAATTCAGTAGGAAAGGCATCAAAGTGGGCTGCTTGCCCCCGAACACGACATCTCTATTATGTCAAGATTTTTTTGTAATGCTTATTTATTTTTGAGAGAGAGGCAGAGACAGAGTGTTAGCTGGGGAAGGGGCAGAGAGAGGGAGACACAGAATCTGAAGCAAGCTCCAGGCTCTGAGCTGTCAGCACAGAGCCTGATGGCAGGGCTCAAACCCACACGCCATGAGATCATGATCTGAGCCAAAGTTGGATGCCCAACCGACTGAGCCACCCAGGTGCTCCACAACATCTCTAATTCAGCCTCTAGATGAGGGGGTCACAAGGACCTTAAGGCTCATTACACTTGGTACTCTAATGAAAGGATTATTAATCCTGTGGAAGAGAACCTTGATAGAACATCATGAAAGTCTGGAAGGTTTATAGCTGAAGATATTGTTGTTATAGAAACAGCCATGAAAGCCATCAAACCTACACAGTAAATTCCTACTGGAGAAAAGTGTGTGTAGATATAGTACATGACTTCACAGGATTAATGACGGAGCCAATAAAGGAAATTAAGAAAGTGATTGTAAGGGCGCCTGGGGGTCTCAGTTACTTAAGTATATGACTCTTGATTTCAGCTTGGGTCATGGTCTCACAGTCTGTGAGATCAAGCCCAGGTTGGGGCTCTACGCTGACAGCACAGAGCCTGCTTAGGACTCTCTCCCTGTCTCTCTCTGCCCCTTCCCCCACTTGTGTACTCACACACAACATGTGCTCTCTCTCTCAAAATAAGTACTTTTTTAAAAAAAGAAAGTGATTGTAGATATGGTTGAAAAAGACAGGGGTGGAGGAGTGTAAATAGGTTTCAGGGTACAGATTTTGGAGAAATTCAAGAGGTAATAGACACTACACAAGAGGAATTAACAAAATGGTTTGATGGAGGTGAGTGCTTCCAGAGCAGTGCAAGATGATGTGGAAGAATATGTAGAAGAAGCACAGACAGAAAATAAATTTGACATTAGGCAATCTGGCAGAAAGGATCTGATTATTCAGGACTGCTTTTGACTTCTTTTATGAAATGGACCCTTCTGTGATGTGGGCACTGAAATTAAAGGAAATTGTGGAAGGATTGGTGTCATGTAAAAACGTATTTAGAGAAATGAAAAAGCAAAAAATTCAGACAAACCATGATGTATTTCCATAAAGTTACATTGAGTGTAGTTTTATCTCTTGCATACCCTTTCCCCTCCTCCACCTCTGCTGCACTAAGACCACCCCTCTTCCTCCTCCTCTCTTTCTTATTCATTGTGAAGATGACAGTGATGAAGACCCTTATGATCTGCTTCCATTTAAAAAATAGTAAATGATCATTATACTGTATAGGTAATAAA